CTACCGCATCCCAAAACCAGTCCAGCTCGTCCCCGCCTCCCTAACCTGTTCTTCCTCCCACCTATGCCGCCCTCCCACCTCAAGCTGCACTCACATCTCCTACCGACTAACCTCATCCCGCCCCCTTGACCTGTCCGTCCTCCCTGGACTGACCTATCCCCTTCCTAACTCCCCACCTACACTCACCTTTACTGGCCCCATCCCCGCCCCTTCGACCTGTTTGTTTCCTCTCCACCTATCCTCTCCTCTATCCATCTTCTATCCGCCTCCCACTCTCTCCCTATTTATTTCAGAACCCCCTTCCCCTCCCCCTTTTCTGATGAAGGGTCTAGGCCCAAAACGTCAGCCTTTCTGCTCCTATGATGCTGCTTGGCCTGCTGTGTTCATCCAGCCCTGCACCTTGTTGTCTCGGATTCTCCAGCATCTGCAGTTCCTACTATCTCCCATCCTACCTCTGTCTTCTATTATTTGGCTAATCCTCTATCCATGCAAATATACTGCCTCTAATATCAAGAGTATTTATTTAGCAGCCTTGTGTTCAGTACCTTACTGAAATGCCATTTGGAAATCTGCTAGTTCCCCTTTATCTATCCTGCATGTAACAACCTCAAAGAATCCTAATAAATTGGTCAGGCACGATTTCTTCTTCTTGAAGCAATACTGTTGCAATGATCACCTATGCATTCTTTATAATAGACTCTAACATTTTCCCGATGACAGATCTTAAACTAACCAACCTTTAGTTTCCCGTAAAAGCTCGGCGGGTCTGGTGGTATCTGTGAAGAGAAATCAGAGTTAACGGTCCTTAGAACAGGTTCTGAGGAAGGGTCACCGGACCCGAAGCATTAACTCTGATTTCTCTTCACAGATGCTGCCAGACCTATTGACCTTCTCTAGCAATTTGTTTTTGTTTCTGATTTACAGCATCTGCAGTTCTTTCGGTTTTTCTTTAGTTTTCTATCTTGACTCCCTTCCTTTTTGAACAGGGGAGTTACATTGTTAGTTTTCTAGTTGTTGGGAAGTTTTCTAGAATTTAGAGACCCTTTGAAAATTAGTACCAGTGTATTTACTATCTCTAGCTACTTACTTATATGACGATGCAACTACTCTTGGATGTTTGTTAGTCTTTACAACTTTATGCCATTGACAGTGGTTGAGGCTGGGTCATGGAATATGTTCAAAGCTGAGTTGCAAAATATTTGATCTGGAAGGGAGTTTAGAGGGTCAGGCAGGGAAGTGGGCGAAGTCCCAATCAAATCAGCCCAGATTTTCCACTATCCAGATCATCTTTTCTACAACATAGATGGGAGTTGAGTGCTGGGACCTTGCGGAATCCCCAAAAAGCAGACTTAAAGCAAATTGCCTGGGAAATTGAAATTTCCAATGGGTAATGCTCACAAATTTGGGACCCTTTCACAGTATCCATTTAAATTGGAGAGTTATGCCACAGTTAAGGAAATACTTTCCCCAGGAGAAGTTAGGTAATTAAAAAGCTATTGTGCCCTGATTAAATATTAAAGTGACCCACAAAGTAATCTCCCCCCACCTTCCATGTAAGCTTGATGCCCTCTATCCCACACTCTACCCCTGGGACTCCTGCCCCACCACCTACCAAGCATGTTGTCACTTACCTGACCCATTCCTACCTTGTCTCCTGGTACACTACATGTGGCTCCCAAGCATCACACTTACTTGATGGACGTAACCTTTCACAGAAACTGTTGAAGTAGCTGAGATACTAGAAATGTAAATCACAAATTATGGCAGCCAGTGTTGTCAACAAGGGGTCATAGGGCAATCTGACTGCCACTACTCTGAAATATTGAAAGGCAGAGTTGGCTTGATGGGTTAAATGACCTTGTTTTCATTTCTCTAATGTTCTTCAGAAAATAGTTTTCAATTTGGTTGTTGTTGGAAATAATTGATAAATATCTTTTTTTGCATTATTTTCCATATAATCCTGATGAAAAGCCATATACGTTTACTTGTTTGAACTGCACAAATTCTATCAGACAACTGATGGTCCTCCTCTGCTCGGCTGAGTATAGGAATTTGAGAAGTACATGAGCTGTCAATTAGGTAAAAAGCCGAGATGGAAAACACAACAGTGGCCTGGATTTATGATGTCCAGGGTGTCACTTGACCAAACCTTAATTGTTTTGTTGGTCAGTGTTGAATTGGTGTGTACACTGTACAGGGATGCAGGGTGGGACTGCACACATTTAACATTCAGCTTGATACTTATCTCCGATCACTGAGATTATATGATCATTTTCTGTTGCAACAGAAGGTTTCTGTGTCAGTTCTTGGGACACTGGTGAGCTCTAGTTTTTCCAAGAATTTTTTTGTTTTGCCCAGATGTTTTGAATTGTTTCAAGTTTTTGAGGAGATTTGTAGCTCGGATTGGGGATGAGGTTGTAGACTTGCTCACCGAGCCAGTGTGTTTAATCGCAGACGTTTTGTCATCCTGCTGGGTAACCTCGTCAGTGTGAAGCGTTGGTGTTCTGTCCCACTTTGAAAAGTAAGATAGGTTTGGACAAGGAAGGGTGTTCTGCTGACGCCCTTCCTGGCCTTGGAAAACTGATCATGGAACTTGTGGGATGAATTTTAACCATAATAAACCTACAGATTTGAGGTATTGAGAGAGATTATAAGTTGTTGAGATTTAATTAATTTTGATTGTTGCTAGCTCAGTCTGGAGAATCATGGTAAGTCCAAGAGGGAGCTGGATAGCTTGTATGTGAAGGAGGGATTGCAATTTTGAACTACTCAGGTGGACCACAGTGGTTTCTCTAACATGGTATCAGAAACTGAAAGGGTTTAATTGTGAAGCCTGGGTGGGGCATCGAGTTGAAGCAATCAAGGAGATGAACTAAAATCTGGAGTTTGTGTTGCTGTTGCTTCCCCAACAATTGGTGATTTAAATTGGCTATACATGACAGAAATTACCAAAAAGCTATTGGCTTATTGTGTAGTTTTTGAGTAAACCAGGTCAAACAAGAAATTGTCACTTTGCTTTCTTGGCTTTCTGAAAACTCCTTCCTCTTTCCCCCTTGTCTTGGTTATGGGAAGCTCTGGCTGAGTCTCATTGATATGCTGGTTTTTGGCATGGCCTCCACTTAAAGCGTAATGTGTTGGAGAACCCTGGACCAAATGGCCCATATTAAAATAAAGTCAGTGAGTATATGGGTGAATTAAAATATTTAAGAAACCAGTGTGCCAGAGTCATGGAGTTCGAAATTGTGGAGAGTTAGAGGTGAGATATCCTTGGAAATTGTGGTTCAGTGCGCCAAGAAATTCACACATGATACCTGGTGCCTTGTGTGGACTAATGCTTGAGATCATGTGTTTTGTTCTATTAACTGGCATCTGTGGTTTCAGCCGGCCATGACCATCTCCTCAATCAGGCCAGGACATCCATTGCAAGCCAAAGTAGTTCAACCTGCAGCCTCGCCAGTTAATGCAATGTCAGTTGCTGCTTCACAACCCATCCCTACAGCAGCTCCCACTCTGGTAAGCATTATGGATTTGCAGGTGAATCTTTTTCCACACTACTGGAATGGGTATGGTGCATACTGTGACAAATGTTGTGCGTAGTGTCATATTACTCCACCTGATAATAGCATTGTTTATGAAAATATCATACCTGTTGTTGGGAAGAAACTGTTATGGCTTTCTGAAAATGGTGGGTAGTATGTGAATGAGCTGCTAAGTGCAACACCACCAAAGTTCTAGTCTTGTTGCGTACATTGTCGCAGCCAGCAGGCAAAATGATTCAGGTTCAGTTTGCATGCTGGCCATTTTTATTTTCAGTCTGCAGGATAGAGCAGCAAGGTGAACGAGTTAACTTGCACCATGGTTGATCTGTATCTCAACTTCATCCATCTGTCTTAGTACTAGATGCAATGGCTCAGTGGTTAGCACTGCTGCCTCATGGCCCCAGGGACCTGGTTTCACATCCAGCTTTAGGTGACAGCGTGGAGTTTTCCTGTTCTCCCTGCGTATGCGTTATCCTCCTCAAGTCTGAAGATGTGCAAGTTAGGTGGATTGGCCATGCTAAATTGCTCTGTCGTGTCTAGGGATCCACAGGCCGGGTGAATTAGCCGTGGTAAATGCAGGGTTACAGGGAGAGGATAGGGGCAGGATCTGGGAGGGATGCTGTTTGGAGGGTCGGTGCAGGACTTGATGGGGTGAATGGCCTCTTTGCGCACTATAGGGATTCTGTGATTCTAAGATTCTGAAGCTGTCCGTATGCAGCAAGACCTAGTCAGCACTCAGGTCTGGGCTGATGCTATTTGCTTCATAAGTGCCAGGCAATCCTATGAGGGTTACCATTGACCAGCAATTTAATGAAATCAGCCGTATGAATACTCTGGTCACAAGAGTCTCGGAATTGTGCCACAACTGACTTACTACCTGACTTCCCAAGTTCAGTCCACAAGTTACAAGGCACCGAACAGAGTTTAGTGAAATGCTTTCCACCTGTCTTCTTGAGTGGAGTTCCAACAATACTTAAGAAACCTGAATATAAGCAAAATACTGTGGAATCTGGTGTTCAGAAATAAAAACTGTAAGTGTTGGAGAAACTCTGGCAGCATTTGGGAAAGAAACAGAATTAACATTTTGACTCCAGTATGATTCTTCTTTGGGGTGATAAGAGCTGGAAAATTATGGTTTTTATCCAACTGACAGAGGAGGACCAAGGTGAAGCAACATTTTAATTGTATTATTTTCTGCTCTTGATGTTGTCACCTATACATTGACGAGATCAACTGGAGGCTGGGTGACCGCTTTGAGGAACATCTTGTTCATAGGAATGATCCTGACATTCCAATTGCTTGTCATTAAATAAACCATTATGCTTCCATACTGACATTTCCATCCTTGACCTGCTACAGTGTTCCAATGAAGAATAGCGCAAGCTGGAGAAACATTTCAACACTTTACAGCCTCTAGGCATCAATATTGCAACCTATAGAAATCCATGTAGAAATCAACTCAGAGATAGAAGGAACTGCCGATGATGGCATCTGAGATAACAAGGTGTGGAGCTGGATGAACGCAGCAGGCCAGGCAGAAAATGAAGAAGGGTCCAGACCAGAAACGTCAGCTTTCCTGCTCCTCTGATGCTGCCTGGCCTGCTGTGTTCATCCAGCTTCACACCTTGTTATCTTAATGTAGAAATCAACTTCAGAGTATGACCTCTGTGCTCCAATTATCTTACATTCCCACCATCCCTCAGTTGTGTCTTGTTGACTTTGCTCTCAGCAGACAGCTAATATTTACATTTATTTTCCATATCTACCCCTCGTTTACCTCCATTATCACTCTGCGTGTTGTTACTATTCGTTCCACTTGCTTAGAATCATGAAGGTGTACAGCACAGAAACAGACCCTCTGTTCCAACTTGTCCATGCCAACCAGATATCCTAAATTAAACTAATCCCATTTGCCAGCATTTGGCCCATATCCCTCTTAAACCCTTCCTATTTATGTACCCATCCAGATGTTGTTTAATTGTTGTAATTGTTCCCGCCTCCACCACTTCCTCTGGCAGCTCATTCCAAACACGCACCACCCTGTGCGTGAAAAAGTTGCCCCTTAGTTCCCTTTTAAATCTTTCCCCTCTCACCTTAAACCAATGCCGTCTAGTTTTGGACTCCCCTACCCTGGGAAAAAGACCTTGGCTATTCACTCTATCCGTGTCCCTATGATCTTACAAACATCTATAAGGTCACCCTTCAGCCTCTGATACTCAAGAGAATTAGCCCAGCCTATTCAGCCTATCCCTATAGCTTAAACACTCTGTTATCTATTACCTCCTTAAAACAAGTTAGACAACTACAACTGGAATATTTTGAATGAATTTGTCCAGGTGTCCCACAATACGGAAGCAGTCAAATCACTACAAACACAAGCCGGTACCAATCTAATACAGTCCCAACCTTTTTAGGAAACAAGTTACAAAATCTTTTACTACAAAACAATAGTATCTCTAATCCTATTCAGCCCCTTAAGTTTACAATGCTTCCTGAATCTCTTGTAGATTTGCGCAGCTGCTGTATCTCTGTGGGACTGCGAAGCTGTTTCCTCTCCTCTCCTCTCTGTCCGGATGGTCAGCAGGTTTCTGCCTTCGGCCATGCTGGTCTCCTCACAAGATCCAAGAGGGTGCAAAAAATGACCTACAAGTGAACCCTGTTTTTGTACCTTTTTAGATGGATTTTCTGGAACTTTCTACAGTTCTGGCCAATCAGGGAGACTCCCTTAATAGTTTGAAACAATGTCAATCATTTGAATGGCGTGGTATGTTTGTTTCTTTGTGTAGCAGGACCCAGTGCCTTTCTTTTTGGGCCCTCCTTTGTTTGGTTGATAAATTGTTGGAGATACGTCTGTCCAGGCTAGCTGTTGCCTTTACATTATGCTAATGTCATTAGCACATGGATGCTGTGTTTGCACTGTCTGGTGTGTGGGTTTTGTGATTTCAGTGTTTTACTTGGCCAATGTACCCAGCATCCCTTGCAGTTTGGCCAAGTTAGCAATCTATCTGTGTTTCAGCAGCCAGGAGGCTACTACACCTCCAACCCTGGCAACATTCTTGTAAATATTTTATAACCCTTTCAAGTTTAACAACATCTTTCCTGTAGCAAGGAGAGCAGAATTGAAGACAGTATTCCAAAAGTCACCTAACTAATGTCCTGTATAGCACATAACACCCCAACTCTCTCACTCGATGCACTGACCAATGAAGGCAAGTGTACCACATGACTTCTTACACTACCCTTTCTACCTGTGACTCCACTTTCAAAGAACTATGAACCTGCACCCAAGGTCTCTTTGTTCAGTAACATTCCCTAGGATAGTCACGTCAATATAAGTCTTTACCTGATTTGCCTAACCAAAATGCAATACTTCACATTTATCTAAATTAAACTCCATTGCCACCCTTCAGCCCATCTGACCAAGGTCCGGTTGTACTGTGCGATAACCTTCTTCACTGTCCACTGTACCATCAATTTTGGAGTCATCTGCAAACTTACCAAGTTATCCTACCCCTCTGTCACACTCATTAAAACCATAATTTTCCAGCTCCTTTCTGTTCCCTAGATATGTCTTACTGGACTTGACAGATTTACTCTGTTTCTGTCTCTTAGATGCTGCCAGACCTGCTGGATTTCTCCAGCACCCTGTTCTTGCTGAAGGAACTTGACACTATCCAGGGCAAAGCAGCCTACCTCATACCAGCCTTCACCATAAATATTAACTTTCCCTACCATCAAGACACAGTGGCTGAAATATGTATCATCGACAAGATGCAATGCAATAACTGGCTGAACTTCCTCCAGTGGCACCTTTGAAACCTGCAATTTCTGCCATCAAGAAAAATGAACAGCAGATACCTGGGAGCTTCACCTGCATGTTCCCCTCAATGCCGTGCACTGTTTGACTTGGACCTATATCACCACTCGCTCACTATCACTGGTTCAAAATTCTGGAATGTTAACCACACTCTTTGTGTATCTGCACCAGATGCAGGATTGAAGTTCAAGGAATGTTATGGGTGGACAGTAAATGCTTGCATTGTCAGCTAAGCTTGTAGCCCATGAAAGAATAAAAAGTACTTTCCTTCCATTCTTTGTGTGGGAAAATTGTTTCCTGAAATTGCTTTCACGATTAACTTGACTTCTAAGATTGTGCCTTTTTGTTCTGTCTTCCCCAAAGGACCAAATCGTTTCTCTTTTTCTGAAAGGTTTTTCCCCTTAGTTGGACTTTTGTTCCATGCATGCTGTTCAGCAGAAGACACATCCATGCCTATAGTCTGTATAAACGCCACCCCCCCATGTCTGTATCCATCTATCTTAAACCTTGCTGAACAGAATCTTCCTGAAACAGGAAGTCCTCAAAATAAAACAAAGGGCTGTAGATGCTGAAGATCTGAAACAAAAACTGAAATTTCTGGAGAAACTCAGCTGGCCTGGCAGCATCTGTAGAGAGAGAAACAGAGTTAGCGTTAACTCTGTTTCTCTCTCTCTCCATAGATGCTGCCAGATCTCTTTACTTTCTCCAGCAATTTCACTTTTTGTTTCTAGTCCTCAGTTCTTTTCAACAAAATGGGAGGACCAGCCTCTATTTGTAATCTGAGTTATTTGAATCAAGACAATACGTTAATGCTCATATCTGTGAGCACTTAGTTAACTGTGCATTTTGAATTCAAATGTGCGATGAAAATGAAAACTTTTTCTGAAGATGGCAATTGATGTAATTATATCCCCTTCTCAAGTTTGAGTTGCTTGGTGCCATTGCTGGTAGAATGGTATAACTATAGTCCCAAAAACATTTTAATCATAGAACCCCTACAGTGTGGGAACAGGCCTTTTGGCCCAACAAGTCCACACCAAACCTCGGAGCATCCCACCCAGACCCATTCCCCTATAGCTCACCTAATCAACACCACGGGCAACCTAGCATGGCCAACCCACCTAGCCTGAACATCTTTGGACTGTGTGAGGAAACCAGAGCACCTGGAGGAAACCCACGTAGACACGGGGAGAATGTGCAAACTCCGCACAGACAGTCGCCCAAGGATGGATTTGAACCCGGGTCCCTGGCGCTTGAGGTAGCAGTGCCGCCCAAGTGACAAGTTTCCACAGGAAGTTTCCATTAAAATTGTGACTGTAGAATTTATAGTGAAAATATAAAAATAGAAGTAATCTTAAAATATAAGAACAAGAATATATGACTTCAAACTGGAAGCTGAGTTATAATACGTACTTTGTTCCTACTATCAGTTACCTTCTAACCCTTTCACCTAAAAACAACACTTAGAAATGAAGTCAGAATCAAGGAGAATTGGGGAGGATTTGAAATACCGAAAGATCTGGCAAGTCCAAAGTTCAATTTTTGTCAAGTTTCTGAGGATTTGACTTGAAAATTGTTTAACAAATGTTTATTTTTGGTGATTGGGTTTTGTATAGTGGTTCTTTTAACTATACAGCAGAGGAATGGGCCCTTCAAGCTTTGACAATGATTCAAGAAATATGATTTCAGATTTGAAGAGGATACAGGAATATTGTTTCGATTTTAAAAATCTGGAAGTAAGAAAAATAAGTATCCGTCAAATTGACTATAAATGTGTCATTGCTAAAAATCCAAATGGTTCACTAATGTCCTTTTGGAAAGAATGCTTGTTTTATTGAATTCTGCCAGGTACGTTATTATTATCTGTAACATAGTACCACACCAATGTGGTTGCTTCTTCACTGATTTCGGAAATGGCTGAGAGAGATGGCCAGTTGTATCCAGCTCTCACTGCAAGGTATAGTTGATAATCGCCAATGATTCCCAGATCCTGAAAATGAAGAGAAATTGACGTACAACACAAGAATCGAAGATGTAGGAGTTGGAATAGGCAATTGTGTCCTTCCAATCTGCTTTATTCAGTAGGATTATGGCCGATCTACCTTGACTATAGTTTCATGTACTATTAATTCTCTTGAAATTCAAAAAAAAATTAGTATCTATCTTGAATATAGTAGGCAGTCAAGCATCCACAGCTCCCCGGAGTCCAGAATTCCAAAGATTCATGACCCCCTGAGAGATGAAGTTTCTCCTCACCTCAGTCTTAAATGGTCAATATCTTATTCTGGGACTGAGACTATGATGTCTAGACTCCCCAGTCATCTTCACACCAACATTAAACCCCCTTAAGCCAGGTAGCTAGCTGCACAGATGGTACTATTTTGCCATGATCAGTTTTGATTAAAAAAAATCAAACCGAAATCTCCATTGATATTTCCAGCCTTAATGAGTGTTTCTTGCATTTTCTGTTTCTGTTTTTGGTTAGAATTGTTTCCACCTGTTTGTGCAATTTGAAGTTGGTGTTTCCTTGTCTGTTGCAGGTTTCTGGATGTACCAGCACTTCACAGGCTGTGTGCACAACAAACTTCTCTGGAGTGACCAGCCATCACATTATCACATCTCAAACCCAGGCTCAGTCCCAGGCCTCTGCTTCATCTCAGTCCCAATCTGCAACCAAAACTCAACTGCAAGTCCATCCTCAAGTCACACCCAGTTCCCCACTACCAGGAACACCCACAGTTACACAGGTCATTGAGAAATGCTATTTCTTTGTCAGTGACTTAAACAATTCTCTTGAAAAGAAGCAGAGTGAGTTAGTGAATGTCTTTAATGGTATTTGTTTTCTTTCTCCTTCCTTAATCTAGGTATCTGTGGCATCCTGTTCTGCACCCCTGGGAAGAGCTGGACAGGTAACCTAGCCTCAGTGAATGGCACTCTTCAGAAGGCTCGGGTTGTGACAATGATCTGATCTTTAAGACTCTCTCCTTTGGTTTCATGTGATTAACTGAGCAATGTCCTCCAGTCCTGTGCTGCTGGGTACCCTGCCCATGAAGGAGCTCTCATCACTTGCCAACATTAACTCCTCTTTATAATGCCTGAGATTATGTTTAGACTTTTGTGGAAGGAATTTTAACTGTTCATTCAGTAGATGCAGTGCCACTTCTTTGAAATCATGAGGAGTCCAAACTCTATCATCAATCAGTGTTATGGTAGTTGAATTTAGCCAGAGTACCAGGAGCTTACAACAGGTCACATCAAACAATGTTAACATTCCTGCTGTGCTTGAGGCTACAGAAGGATCAGGTTTAGCATTGTTGCCCCGTGCAGTTGAGTAGTTCATGGTGCCTTTCACACTAGAATGTGTGCCATCATTAACGAACAATGTGTGCACCGAATGCGTACCGAATATTTGCCAGTGTATAGTCGCCTGAGCTCTTTTGAGAGAAGGCACCTTCAGGAGCAGGAACAAGAACAATTCAGAACAAGGAAATTTTGGGGGTGCATTGTGATCTTGGAGACTTGAGATTGTAAAGTGTAACAAAGTCATTTTTTTGCAAGCCTTTGAATGTGCATGTTAATCTTGAGAGTTTTGAGCTAGGACTCCAAAGTACCTTTGTACTTTAGACTACCAAAGCCGGTCCCAATTTAGAAAACAGGCTACGCCTCTGTTCTTCTCACCAAAGTGCATAACCGCACATTTACCCACATTGTATTCCATCTGGCACTTGTTTGCCTACTCTCCTAGCATGTCCAAGTTCTTTTGCAGCCTCCTCGCTTCCTCAACACTACCTTTGCCTCCACCTTTCTTTTGTCATCTGAAAGCTTAGCGACAATCCCCACAGTCTCTTCATACAGATTGTTAATGTATAATGTGAATAGTTGTGGTTCCAATACTGATCCCTGCAGAACTCGGCGGCTATCCTGAAAAAGACCCCCTTTACCCCGCTCTCTGCATTCTTCCAGTCAGTCAATCTTCTATTCATGTTAGTACCTTTCCTTGAAAACCATAGGCTTTTATCTCATTTAGCAACAAAGACATAGTTAATGACTGGGTCTGCAGCAGGTGATGTGGGAACCAACATGAGGGAAAAGCACACTTGACCTCATCCTCACCAATCTGCCAGCTGCAGATGCATCTGTCCATGACAGTATTGGTAAGAGTGACTATCGCCCAGTCCTCATGGAGACAAAATCCCACCTTCACATCGAGAGTAACCTCCATCGTGTAGTGTTGCACTATCACCGTGCTAAATGGGACAGACTTCAAACAGATCTAGCAACTCAAGACTGGGCATCCATGAGGTGCTGTGGGCATTAACAACAGCAGAATTGTACTCCAGCACAATCTGTAACCTCTTGGCTCGGCATATCCCCCACTCGACCATTACCATCAAGCCAGGGGATCAACCCTGGAGGGCGTGCTAGGAGCAGCACCAGGCATACTTGAAGATGAGGTTCCACCTGGTGAAGCCACCAAACAGGACTACTTGCACACCAACAGCATAAGCAGCAAGTGATAGAGCTAAGCAGTTCCACAGCCAACGGATCAGGTCTAAGCTCTGCAGTCCTGACACACCCATTAGTGAATAGTGGTGGACAATTAAACAACTCATTGGAGGAGTAGGTTCCAGAAATATCTCCATCGCAAATGATGGAAGAGCCCAGAACATTAATGCAAATGATGAGGCTGTAGCTTTCGCAGCAATCTTCAGCCAGAAGTGCCGAGTGGATGATCCAACTCGGCCTCCTGCAGTAGTTCCCAGCCTTACAGATACCAGTCTTCAGCCAATTCGATTTACTCCATGTAATATCAAGAAATGGTTGGAAACATTGGATCCTGCAAAGGCCACGGGCCCTGACAACATTCTGGCAATAGTACTGAAGACTTGTGCTCCAGAACTTGCTGCTCCCCTAGCCAAGCTGTTCCAGTACAGTTACAACACTGGTATCTATCCGACAATGTCGAAAATTGCCCAAGAATGTCCTGTGCCTAAAAAGCAGGACAAATCCAACCCGGCCAATTACCGCCCCATCAGTTTACTCTTGGTCATCACTGAAGTGATGAAAGGTGTCATCAATAGCGCTATCAAGCAGCATCTGCTCAGCAATAACCTGCTCAGTGACGCCCAGTTTGGGTTTTGCCAGGGCCTGTCAGCTCCTGACCTCATTACAGTCTTGGTTCAAACATGGACAAAAGAGCTGAATTCCAGAGGTGACGTGAGAGTGACAGGCCTTGACGTACAATGCTGCATTTTACCAAGTGTGGCATAAAGGAGCTGTAGCAAAACTGGAATCAGTGGGTTTCAGGGGAAAACTCTCTGGTGGTTAGAGTCATACCTGACATATAGGAAGGTAGTTGTGGCTTTTGGAGGTCACAGCTCCAGGTCATCTCTACAGGAGTTCCTCATGATTGTGTCCTCGGCCAAACCATCTTCAGCTGCTTCCTCAGTGACCTTCCCTCCATCATAAATTTAGAAGTGAGGATGTTCACTGATGATTGCACTACGTTCTGCACCATTTGCGACTCCTCAGACGCTGAAGCAGTCAGTGTCCTAATGCAACAGGATCTGGACAATATCTAGGCTTGAGCTGACAGTTGCAAGTGACATTTGAATGCCAGGCTATGACCATCACCAACAAGAGACAATGTAACCACCGCCCCTTGACAATCAATGATGTCACCATCACTGAATCCCCCATTATCAACATCCTGGGGGTTATCATTGACCAGAAACTCAATTGGACTCACCACATAAACACAGTGACTACAAGAGCAGGCCAGAAGCTGGGAATACTGTGGCGAGTAACTCACCTGCTGGCTCCTCAAAACCTGTACATCATCTACAAAGCACAAGTCAGAAGTGTGATGGAATACTCCCTACTTGCCTGGATGAGTGCAGCCCCAACAACACTCAAGCTTGATATCATCCAGGATAAAGCAGCCCGTTTGACTGGCAGCATGTCCACAAATATCCATTGCCTGTACCGCCATCGACACTCAGTAACAGCAGTGTGTACTATCTACAAGATGCACTGCAGAGATTCACCAAAGATCCTCAGACAGCACCTTGTAAACCCACGACCACTTCCATCTAGAAGGACAAGGGCAGCAGATATTTGGGAGCACCACCACCTTCAAGTTCCCCTCCAAGCTAGTCAGCATCCTGAGTTGGACATATATCGCCGTTCCTTCAGTGTTGCTGGTTCAAAATCCTGGAATTCCCTCCCTAATGGCGTTGTGGATGAACCCACAGAAGGTGGATTGCAGCAGTTCAAGAAGGCGGCTCACCACCACATTTTCGAGTGCAACTAGGGTCAAGCAGTAAAAGCTAACCAGCCAGCAATGCCCATGTCCCACAAAATTGAATAATTGCTCCTATACAGTGCATTGTTAAAGGCTTGCTGGAAATCAGATGTTATTTACCTGGATGGCTCTCCTTACAACTAACTTGCTCATTACTTCTCAAAGAATTCTAACAAATTTGGCAGCCATGACCTCGCCTTGATGAAGCATGCTGTGTCAGTGCTATTTTATCATGCACTTCCAAGTGTTCCGCAATCTAATCCCTATTCATGAACTCTAAAACCTTAGCAGCGACTGATGTTAAGTTAACTGGTGTATGATGCCCCATCAGCTGCCTCCCTCCCTTCTTATACAGGAGTGTTACAGTTGACATTTTCCAGGCCTCTGAGTCCAGTGATTCTTAAAAGATCACCATCAATACCTCCCCAATCTCTTCAACTATCTCCTTCGTTACCTTGAGGTGTAGTCCATCGGGTCTAGGTGATTTATCCACCTTCAGACCCTCAGTCTTTTTCCTTCCTGGTTCCTCAACTTTATCTACACCGTTCCTATGCCTTTCAACCCTGTATCGCATCTTGCTATTGATTTAAGTCCATTTCTTACTGGTTAGTCTGTTTCAGTGATCAGACAATGAAAGTTTGGATTTGCATTGCGATTGGTACAGAGCAGGAGTTGAAGGAGGAGAACCTCAAGTTGCATTGTGAGTCGAATTACTCATTATAAAGTATGTGAGGGCATTGCTTCCATCCTCCTTAAATGTTGAATGTTCATACACTGGACTCCAGGAAATCAGAGAAGAAGGCAAGGGATCAATGGGAAGCAGGCCAATAAATACTTGTAATTAATACCCAGATTCTCTTGTAAATCTAGGAAATGCAGGAAAATGTGAAGAAATGCAAGAACTTCCTCGCAACCTTGATTAAACTAGCATCGCACAGTGGACAGTCTGCAGACACCTCCCGGAATGTGAAGAGTCTTGTTCAAGACTTGTTGGCAAGTGGCAAAGCTTGCTTCTAAGTAGTTTTATAATAGTAATTGAAATTTTTATGAAGTATCTAGCCCAGTGCCAGTTTAGCCTGAAAGTGGAGCGAATTTCCTGGCTATGCTATTGGGTACTGATGACTTAACATGGAGTGTGAAGTGTGTTCCAGTTTGGGGAAAAAAACTAAGAATGTGTTTGTGCTACATGAGCATGTCTGAGCAAAAATTAGTGTTAACTAAGAACAAAATCATATTTTTTCTTTATTCATTCATGGGATGAGGGCATCACTGGCTAGGCAGCATTTATTGCCCATCCCAAGAGTCAACCACATTGCTGTGGGTCTGGAATCACGTGTAGGCCAGACCAGGTAAAGATGGAAGTTTCCTTCCCTAAAGGGCATTAGTGAACCAGATGGGTTTTTCTGACAATCAATGATAGATTCATGGTCATCGTTAGATTCTTAATTCCAGATATTTATTGAATTCAAATTCCACCATCTGTCGTGGCAGAATTCGAACCTGGGTCCCGTTATCTGGGTCTCTGGATTAACAGTCCAGTGATAATACCATTGGGCCATCACCTCCCCATGATGATGTTTGCATTAAATCCTCCAATTCGTGTATACAGGTGATAGTGAGAGGTTCAAGTATTGTGGTACCCTTCAGTTTGTCTACTGCAGCAGTACTTGTGAGTTTCAAAAACCATTTGATCTCTTATTTGAGAGGCTTATTTTTTGTCTATTCACTCATGACATGAGCAATACTGGCTGGCTAGCATTTGTTGCTCGTCCCTAGCTGCCCCTGAACTGAATGCCTTGCTAAACCATTTCAAAGGGCACTTTAGAGTCAACCACAATGCTGTGGGTCTGGAGTCACAAGTGGCCAGACCAGGTACAGATGGCAGATTTCCTTCCCAGACATTAGTGAGCCAGATGGGTTTTTCCGACGTCAATTGATTCTTAATTCCAGATTTTTTTTAATTGAATTCAAATTCCACCATCTGCTGTGGTGGGATTCGAACCGGGTCCCCAGAATATTAGCTGAGTTTCAGGATTCATAGTCTAGTGGTAATACCAGTAAGCCATTGACTCCCCTGTAAATGAATAGAAAGCAGAGTGTGTGAAACAGTAACAATTTCTTACAAGATGGAGTTGGTGAAAAGATCCAGAGAGATGCTTTTAGTTTGCGTGTACAGAAGTATGAAACCTTCGGTGGGGATGGTTGAATGTGATATTTGTTGCTGCTATTGAGTTGGGGATGAAAGTTTAGTTTAGTTGGAGAATTTGGGGAAATAAACAGATATGAGGCAAAGACAGTCAACTATCGTTAAATATAAAATGATACATTTGGATGGAAATGACCAAATAGTAATTTAACCTAGCTTACAGTAAGAGAAAAGAAACTTGGGTGCTCTAAATACAGACCTTCTAAACACTTGCAGATTGAGAAGGGTGGGTAGTGGGGTACTCTGGAAGAATTGTTTTAGGTCAGATTGCTGTGTGCAATTTTGGACACTCCTTAAGAAACTTGAAGAGATGCAATCAAGTTTAATTTTATATTTGATCTTGGGATGGGGCTATCACTGACTTTACTGCCCATTTCTAATTGTTTTTGCAATGACTGCTGACTTGGTCATTTTAGAGGTATTTAAGACTCAACCATATTGCTCAGAAGTCTGAAGAAAGGGTGACAGATTTCCTTGCCTAAAGACATAAATAAACCACATAGTGGTTAGATAATTGCCATTAACTTCTAAATCCAGATTTGTCGTTACTTGAATTCAAATTTTGAAGTCTGTCATTAGCCTGGAATTCTGGATTACTCATCCAGTGACATTACCACTGTGCCACTCTGTCCCTGCTATGAAATTGCAGAAGAAAGCATAAACTTAAATGAGAGATTCTGCTCCCTGAAACAGAAATGGTTGGAGAGATCTGTGAAGTTATTCCAAACAAAATGAAAATGCTAGAGAATGAAGAGTGAAAGATTTATTCAACTGGACAATAATAAGCCCATTACAAAAGGGAAACATACTCATGATTGGTACAAGGATCAGAAATGTCGCAAAAGAGGTTATCCATTCAGCCCTTCAAGACTGTTCTGCCAATCTGTTTGATCATGGCTGATCTTTGCTAAAACCTAATGGTCCCTTTTTGCATCATCTTTCGTGATATCTTTGTGTAGTAAAATTCTGTTGAACTTTGTCTTGAAAGCTTTAGTTGATCCCTCACATTTACAGCCTTTTGTGGTGGCTAGGTGAGGACACTTGGTGGGATGTGGGATAATACTATGATTTCCACTTGCTTTGTGAACCTCAGTCCTATGAACCATGCTCTACTCGCAAGAATGTGAATGCATTGCTACAAGTGCAAACTGAAACTGAAAAAAATTCTGATTAAATACTTGAAGTATGTACAAGAACATGGGGACAGAGCAAAGATGAGAGTGAATAGTTCCACTTGAAGAGTGAGCATAAGCAAGAGTAGGGGCAGGATATAATAAGTATTGAACAGTATGTTTTTCTGTATTCATTGAGACTGCAACACAGTGTAAGAGAAATGGCCAAAATAGTCTGCAATTAAAAATGTTGCCCTGCACTGGAAAATTCCTAACTGTCTGTCTGTTTTTCTTTTTTGAAGGACTCTAAGATTGAACCAGAAGAATTCACTAATAGACTTCAGTCAGAACTTAACTCGTCTCCACAGCCATACCTGGTGCCTTTTCTTAAGGTGTGGTACGAATACAAACAGGATGTATATTTTTAACGGCGATCTATGTGCACTTTATGTACATCTACAGGTCCTGTAAGAATTGGACACACTACAGCTTCTTTCATAGTAAGAAAACCCTGCTAGATACAGAGTAAAACTTCTCTCCTGTCCGATCAGACACTCTCGGGGCAGGTACAGCATGGGTTACAAAGGGAGTGAAGATAAATTTAGTAATGTATCTAACCCAATTCTTAGAAGACTATCCTGAGTGAGATTTTGATTTCTCAGCTTTGTTTTACTGTGACTAATATATCAGATTAGTGTAGTGAACTTCACATTGCAGCTGCTCTGAGACCCTGCCTTAGCTTTGAAGGAGGGAATGATATTCCAATCCTTAGTCCTGCTATCATTACTTTGGCTAAGATTAAATGCAGGAAAACCACCTTCAGGATTGTTCAAGTTGAGTTTTGAACTTCACTTTCACTTTCAGATAATTTACACTTACTTATTGTGAGCACTTGTTTTATCATGGGGTTGGTAGGGACCTGCGGAATGGTTAACAAAGATGGAAGAAATCAGCCATTCTGCAGCATGAAGCTAAGCTGGAAAAGCACATTCCTAGTTTGTCTTTGCTCTGTGTTCAATTAGTTGATTGTAAATGGAGAGCAGTGGAGATGCTGATTTGATTCAGTGGTTCTAGGAGAAGAAGTTGGAAACTCCTAATGGTTATGCAGCTTATGATTTTCTGTTGAGAAGTGAATATATTAATATTTAGCGAAGACAGAATCATGTGAGTGTATTCCTCTCACTTTAACATTTGCTGGCATTCCACTAGGTGTATGAGTGTATGGGGAAGACAGAGTTTCTACTCAGACTTTGTAAGTTTTTAATAATTGTGGACTCCTTTTCTCCCAGTTGGTCAGAACTTTTTGCCTGTCACTGTAACTGAAGTTGGGAATTTGCACAACAGTATTTGCTAGAGACTTCATCTGGGGCACAGATTGTAGACAGCTGTCCAAATCTGCAAAAGAATTGAGAAAATGAAATTTTTGTGGAGCCTTTATTCTTTGCACGTATCCACAGTTCTTGTGTACGATCTAAATTTTAGCAACTGATGTGAATTTTGTGTAAAATAAACATTTACTTGCTGAATTATCATTTAAACATAGTCTGCTTGTTGTCTTCATGCAGAAAAGTTTACCAGCCTTGAGGCAGTCCCTGGTCCATAATCAGCAGTGCATCCTGCAAGTAAATCAGCAGACACAAGGAGTGGCCTCCGTACAGACCACATCTACTGTGCCATCGACAGGAACTGTCACCACGGTTGTGGCTGGATCATCTGTACGAATTAGACAGCCCATCACTGATAACACAGTCCCAGGACCAAATGCAGTGACACAGGCACACATCAATTTGGCTCAGCAAGGGCGCAGCACGCATCTGGTGCGTAGTGAGTTTAGATGCCTTATGGTAGGAACGGAATATGAGAGTGTAGAGTAATTTGGCAGAGAGGGAGGAGAGTTTTTAAAAGGTAGAACTTGAATGCTTGAGATTAAAGTAAAATCAGAGAGCATTGGCAATCCACACAAGGTTTACTGGCATCTGGAAGGAAGAAGGCAGCTTCCAGCAGATTCTCTCCACACTTGGATTTAGACTTTCAAATTCACTGCTTTGTAAAACCTGCCAAAATATGTGGAAGGTAGGGAAGTGCAGCAGGTAAAAGTGAGGACCATAGGTATTACAGTTGGAAATAAGAAACCAATTAGTTTTACAGTTCATGATTAAAGATTCAAAAGCTGAAAAGGGAATAAAATGCATTTCTAAATGCTCAAGTCATCCCAATTTGGCGTCAAAAATATATTCAAACATTTAGATAATGGAACAACAAACATTGAGGTGTTATCTTGAACTGGGGAGTTCGTATGTAAGAAAGATGTGTACTAACATACTTTTGATTATGTTCGTTCAAAGAAGAATTAATGTTCTTCTCTAGGCAGGAGTCATCTATCCTATTTGTGGGATTGGAGGAGAATTTCCTTTTTTCTTCACTATTACTCTGAAAATTGTCACAGTGGAGTATAATCCAGGCACACGACACGGTATAAAAACAGAGAATGCTGGAGAAACTCAGCAGATCTGGCAGAATCTGTGGAGAGAAGCAGATTTAATGTTCAAGTCCTGTATGACTCTTCTTCAGAACTGGATATGGTTCTTATTCTTGACAGGGGAGAGCATTTATAATGTGATGCTCAGGCTTCTTTTAGAGGGTGTTGTTGATAAATAGTTGATGTATTTTTTCATGTACAGGCATTTGGGACCAAGTAGAATTTACCAATCTATGGTAAACATTCTTATAGACACTGCTGAATTTTGTATGTTTTTTTCTCATTTCAAGTATTAATTGCACAAGTGCCTTTGACCACAGCGCTTCAGCGTGGGTTTAGTGCAGTGTTCCAGGGCATCGTTCAAACCTTACTGCTCAATTGATTGAGAGTCTCTGAAGCGAAATCTGTCACCTTAAAGAACAAATTTGAAAGTGATAGATCGATTAGGTTGTACCCCTGGCAAATCTTGTGGTTTTCTGCCGCAAACTTTCAATTCTGCTTGAAATGTGAAAACTTTGAGAAGAAGTTTGTGCTGCATTTGAATTTAAAACCAAGTCAGAAACAATTTACTATAAACTCAAACATCTTTTATTGTCCTGCTGAATGGTAGTCAACTATTTCCGAGATTTTATCATTCCCCGTTTGTTTGTTATACTTGATACCTTGAGCTGTCAGGCTCCGCAGTGTGGACAATTCCCACAATGACCAGAGAGTACAGAACCCACTTTGCATCAATCTGTAGCGAGTACCATGTGTGGCAGGGTGCTCCTGTTTCCCTGGAGAGTGGTTTGGGGGTTTGTGGGAGGTGCAATTGTTCCTGCTTCTTGGGGATGGATGTGGGGGTGGGGTTGCTATTTTCAGGGGAGACATGATGCTTCCGTTTCATGAAGGCCAGGAGAGATGAGGGACCCTCTGGCAGTGGGGTGGGCAGGCAAGGTGATGGTCATAAATCTGCTGGGTGGTAAACAGAGCAATTAAATTAGTGATGAACAGCGTGAGAACTAATTTTGTTGTTTACTTTTGCTGCATCAGGAAAATGTGAAACTTTTCCCTTGGCTGAATGTTACCCTGCGGGCTTCCCAGAAATTTACATTGGGAAGAAGAGTAGAATTCTGCTTCACTGGAAAGCTATGCATTTAAACTGCGATATGTGGAGCTGCAGTGTACTGAATGTGGTGGCAGTGATGGTTGCTTTTCAGATGATGTGCGTCACAGTTGGAATTGCTGTATGCCTAAGAAATATTAGAGAAACGTTGAATCTCCGTTATAGTGTCCCTTTGTGTCAGGCCTGATATGAAGGCCCAAGGTACGCATACAGGAGGAGGCTGCAGAAACCTCTGCAAGATCTGTTCTTACATAGTGTGCTCTGTGGCCAAGTGGAGTACTTACGCACATAGGCTGTGAAGCCTTCACCTGTTCAGGATGAAGAATATTGTGACCAATAATATTCTTGTGTGCAAAATCTCATGTCACCTGTTCTCTTAACAGATTGTACAGCCCCCAGTACAGACAATGAAAAGGCAATCTGGTCTAGGAGCTCAAGTGAGATTGCCGCCGGTTATTACCCCATCTATCAGACCAGGTATGATGAGCAATAACCTGTAGTTGGTAACTGATAACATCGCATCGACAGCTTGTCAATATCAGCTCAGTTTGATAACCAGTCCACATCTCCTAGCAAGACAAAACATTGTCCATTATTTCAGATTTCAGCATTGCTGGAAATACTCAACAGGTCTGATGCATTTATTGGGAGTGAAAATGCTGGAGAAACTCAGCAGGTCGGGCAGCGTATGTGGAGGGAGAAACAGTTCATGTTTTGAATCCAGTGACCTTCAAAAAAAACCCTCTTCTTGGACCCTATTTGCCTCACCCTTTCTCTAACTTACTTGACTATTTTGACAGATATAGTGAACTCTTGTATTCCCCTTTATTAATTGCCAGTCTGTTCTCACTGTGTTTGTCCTGACTTTTCCTTTATCACTGTTCTTCTCCCCTTTTAGCCTGGTTCTTTCTTGTGTTATCAATATTATATAGCAGGTGTCAAATGCACCTTTTTCTGTTTCATCTTACTCTCCAGCAGTTGTGTTACCCCAGGCGCTCTGGCTTTGTTTTCCCTAGCTTCCCCTTTGTTTGAATTTACATTGACTGAACCCAAAAACACTCATCTTTTAAGGCAATCCGTTGTATGATTCACCTTTTGCCTGCTAATCTTTGATTCCATTAATCAGCACCAAATTTAATGTTCTAGATTGCTTTTTGTCTTTTTCCATATATAATGCTTCCAGCTGATGTCATTACATCTCAGATCCCAACAGGAACCTGGCTTGATAGATGATATTTTGTTTTGTTTTAATTTTAACAAAATCGTCTCTCACTGAAACATAAGTTTGCAGTGTTGCAAATTTTGCTTTAACAATGAAAGAGAAGTTTATTAACCAAAGAAATTATGATAAAATATAATAAACCAAACAATGTACTTTTAGTAGAACTTCAAAGATTTTTAAATTCCAAAGCATTCTTTATAAGTTGAAAAGAAATATTTTTTTCCTTTATTCATTTACGGGATGAGGGCGTTGCTGGTGAGGCAGCATTTATTGCCCATCCCTAATTGTCCACAAGGCGGTTAAGAGTCAACCACACTGTTATGGGTCTGGAGTCACATGTAGGCCAGACCAGGTAAGAATGGCAGTTTCCTTCCCTAAAGGACATTAGTGAACCAGATGGGTTTTTCCGACAATCGACAATGGATTCACGGTCATCATTAGACTCTTAATTCCAGATATTTATTGAATTCAAATTCCACTATCTGCTGTGGCCATTGCCTAGTACTATATAACAACAGTTATATAGTATTCAAAACAATGATCATGCAATGCTCACACCAAAATGTCTATATCTAACATCTTGATAGGCATAAGTCACTTGAGACTTCAGCTACTCCCTGGATCTACCACATACCCAAGCTTCACTGTCTCATTTTAAGTAACCTGCTAAGGGTTTTAATTTTAATACTTCTGATCTGGGACTATCACTAATCTTTCATTCATAGGAAACCAAATTTTCTATGTATCTGTCCCTTCTCAAGATCACTTCTCTGTAGCCATCCCATTCCAAGGACTTCACAACCTGCCTTAAACTCAAACTAAAACAGAAAAATGTCTCCCTCTCTAAGCTATTTCTGCTTCCTTTATGCTTGCAAAAATCTGAGTAAAACCAAGTTCCAAAAGTTTCTTACAAACCTTGGGGTGCCATTATTCACATTGCTGGATAAGCATGACATTGAAAACATAGGAAAATAAGAACAGGAGTAGGCCATTCAGCCCATCAAACTTGTTCTGCCATTTAGTGAGATCATGACTTATCTTTGGCCTAACCCTATACACCTTCCTTTGGCCCATATCACTTAATACCTTTGCTTTACAAAAAAATACATACATTTCGGAGTTAAAACTAACAATTGATCTGGCATCCACTGCTGTTTGTGGAAGAAAGTTTCAAAATATCTACCACTCTTTGTGTGTAGAAGTGTCTCCTAACATCTCTCCTGAATGGTCTGTCCCTATTCTCAAACTATGTCCCTAGATCTAGAATCCCCAATCAGTGGAAATAGTTTATCTTTATCTACTGTTTCTTTTCGTGTTAATAATTTGAAGACTTCAGTTAGATCATCCATGACTCTATAGTTTAAGCCTATTATTCGTGTAAACCTACGTTGTACTCTCTCCAAGGCCAGAATATCCTTCCTAAAGTGTGGTACCCAGATCTGCTCACAGTACTCTAAGTGGGGTTTAGCCAGGGTTTTGTATAACTGCAGCATAACTTCATACCTTTACGTTCAAGTCCTCTCGATACAAAGGGCAGAATTACATTAGCTTTCTTGATTATTTTCTGCACCTGTTTGTGACATTTTAAAGACCTATGCACCTGAATCCCAAGGCTCTTTGGATATCAAGTGTATTTAATTTCATACCATCTAGAAAGTACTTGATGTATATTTTTCACTGCAAAGTGGGTCACCTCACACTTGCTTACACTGAACTCCATCTGCCACAGTTTTGCCCATTTATCTAGTCTATCAATTTTAGCCCTTTGTAATTTTATGCTATCTTCTACCCTGTCTATAATGCTTTCAATCATCAGCATGATAATGTATCATGTATGATTTTCTATGCCATTATCCAAGTCATTACTAAATAATATGAATAATTGGGGCATTAAGCCAGATCCCTGTGGGACACCTCTGGCCACATCTTGCCAATTTGAGTACCTACCCATTATCCCTACTTTGTGTTGCCTATCTTTCAACAAATTTACCAGTTATGGCAGTAACTTGCCCTCAATTCCGTGGGCTTCTGCCTTAGTTAACAGTCTCTTATTTGGGGCTTTGTCATATGTCTTCTCTAAGTCCATATCAACAACATCCATAGATGTTCCCCTGTCCCACCACCTTTGTCACCTCTTCAAAAAAATTCAGTGAGGTTTGTCAGCATGTCCTACTTGTCATGATTCCATGCTGGCTGTCCCCGATTAATTGAAAATTGTGAAGATATTCAGTTATAAGGGGAGGAGATTGCCTAATGGTATTATCACTGGACTGTTAATCCAGAGACTCCGATAGTGTCTTCGGGATCTGAGTTCAAATCCCGCCATTGCAGATGGTGGAACCTGAGTTCAATAATAAAAATAGATTCTGAGAATCAGAGTCTAATGGTGACCATGTGACCATTGGCAATTGTTGGAAAATCCCATCTGATTCACTAATGTCCTTTAGGGAAGGAAATCAGCTATCCTTACCCAGCTGGCCTACATGTGACTCCAGTAATGTGGTTAACTCTTAGCTGCCCTCTGGGCAATTAGGTATGGGTAGTCAATACTGGCTTGGCCGGTGATGTCCACATCCTATGAACAAATATTTTGGAAAATCTATCTATAGATAGGGCATACTTGTCCTACTTCTTTTAATATCCTTGGATGGAAACTGTCAGATCCCAGGGATTTGTCACTCTTTCATTCCATTAATTTGCTCATTATCAGTGTTTTGTTTACATTAATTTTATTCAGTTCTCGTTCCCGATTCATAACTAATTTTCTCAGGAAAACAATTTGAAATTGACAGAAGTCCGATAGTAGTACACACAAAGCCATTCACTCTCAAGCCAGGCCTCAAAACATGTTTTCAAAAGTAATCACCATGGCCACAGAAATAATTACAAGTTCATCATTAACTTCAGATACAGAAACTCACTGATAACTAACTCAAAACTAGAAGCTAAACTTAGAGCAACCAGTATATATATCTTAGAGCTTACATCACACATAATGAATCTCAATCTAACAGTACTGAGCGCTGACATTTCATCCACTTCAATCGACTCATTGCCAGAACCAGATTCAGCAATGATGGAAATAGGTGGTCTCAGTGATGGTATGAAGATGTGAAGCTGATCTCAAGGTCATATAGGACACAAAGATTGCCCACAAGCTGACTCAGCCTCTGAGTGTTTTGGGAAGGGGGAATGGAGTATTATGGCAGGTCTTCAAACTGTCCGACTTTGGTCTTCTCAACATTTAATCAGACAAAATTTCTTCTCATGTAGTGATGGATGTGAAATAAGCAGCCTGATGATTTAGAGAGCAAAAAGATCAAGAGAGGTGGTGTTAGGGTAGAACTGGTTATCATTGGCATACATGTGGAAGCTGATGCTACGTTTTTGAATGATATCACAAAGTATAGTATATAGATGTGAAATTATGGAAATTTAGGCCAATTTGAATGAGTGGCTAAATCGTGGTAGATGCAATATAGTGTGGATAAATGTGAAATTGTCCACTTCAGTGAGAAAAGCAGAATGGCAGAGTATTATTTAAATGACGATAAATTGTGAAAGGCTGATATGCATAGAGATGTGGCTGCACAGTGGTCATTGAAAGCATGCATGTCGGTGCGGCAAGCCATGAGGAAGGGAAATGATATGTTGGCTCTGATCGCAAGGGGGTTTGAGTACGGAAGCAAGGAAGTCTTCCTGCACCTGTACACGGCCTTGGTGAGACCATGTCTGGCACTTTTGTGTGCAGCTTTGGTCTCCTTAAATAAGAAAAGATGCATTTTCCACGCAGGGAGTGCAATGGAGGTTCACCAGACTGATTCATGGGATGGTAGATATGTCGTATGAGAAGAGATTGGGACGGCAGGGATTCGCTGGGATTTAAAAGAATGAGTGGGAATTTAATTGAAATATGTAAAATTCTGACAGGGCTGGACAGAGTGGGTGAAAGGTGATGTTTACCCTGGTTGGGGGTGAGATAGGGCGGTCATGGTCTCAAGATACTTGGTCAGCCTGAGATTAGATGTTTGTTTGCTCAGAGCATGGTTACCCTATGGAATTCTCTCCTATAGAAGGCTGTGGAGGCACAGTCAAATATAGGTAAGAAAGGAATAGTTACTGGAAGCTAAAGGTGTCAAGGAGTATGGGGAGAATGTAGGAGTGTAGTGTTGTGATCATGATCGTGTTGGTCATGATCATGTTGACTGGCGTTAGCCAGTTCAGTGGTTTGAATGGCCTACTCTTGCTCCTATTTTCTGTGTTTTAAATTAGAAGGAGCCAAAGTTAAATCCTGGGGGAAGCCAGAGGTCATAATGTGAGGTCTGGAAGATAAGTCTTTATATGTGATTAATTGTATCATTCTTCATGTCTTTGTTTGGGCAGCCAGTGTTGACACCAACACAGTAGGTGGATTACTGCTGAATTTGATCATGAATTGATCTCCGATCAGCATGTGCACTTTACAGTGCAATTAGAAAGTGGATTTGAGGGCAGAAACCCTATATGATTGCTCTTCTGTAGCCAGGAGTGCTGAACCCGACTACAATATTTCTTCTGCCACAGAGGAGATCGATTAACACAACACAGTCTGATAATGATGCTTTGGAACTGATTCATGTTGTGTGTAGGACAGTGGATTAATTGTTAATGCACTGAAAGGGTTTCATTAGATAGAGACAAGATATTTCGACTTGTTGGGCAAACATAAAGTATGGTTTAGAGTCAGTCAAATTCATTAAGGAGTTCAAAAGAAATGTCTTCATTCAGAGCGTAGTGAGGATGTGGAATGTGCTTGGACTAAACAAAAAAGGGAGAAAAGAATAGCAGGATATATGGATAGGATTAAATGAATTAGGTTGGAGGGGACTTACGTGGACTTGCATGGATCTTTTGGGTTAAAAGACCTGTTTCTATGCTATGTAGCCATGATTTGTAGAAAGACTTTAATGGCAGATGGTGGGGACTGAACCATGAGGCAAGAGCAGGAAAAATGTGCTTAGGGCGTTTGTTCCAGTTGTTCCCCTAGCCCAGCTGTAGTGGCCTGTAAGTTCACTGTGCGCTACGTCTGAGTTAGGGAACATGGTAAGCACATTAGAAGTGTTTTTGCCACAGCTATTAGACCAACTGTGGACTTGCTATTCATCCTTCCAGGCAAGTTCCACAGAGAGATTCCAAGTTGTGCCAATTAGACAAACCTGTCAGTCAATGTTATAAAAACCCCTGGGCTGTTAGTGTTGTGCTTATAATACATTCTATATGTATTCAAAAACATGTTTGAGGTAACTTGGGACAGACAGTAATCACTGTGCCAGGATGTTTTCCCCCCTCTTAGAGTCTTTAAATCCATCACTGGTCACAGTCTTCAGAATCTAAGAGGTAACTTGAGAGCTGTATGCAAGCTGACCTCGGGCAAGAAGCTGTTGCCATCATTTCTGGAAGATATTTAAAATCCACTTCAAGGCCTGTGATGGAACGAAAGAAAGAATCATTTCAGATATAATCATTGCTACACTGAAATAGCGTTGATTCCTGACATTACAATAGTTCATCTTAATTTCTTAAGAACTATTTCCGCTGTAAAGTCTGAGTCTGCAGGTTTACATCCTTGTGATCCCTAACAGCTTGAAATTGCAAGAAGGCAAGGTTAGATAATGAGAAGTGAAGGTGGATGACAAACAAGAAAAATAACATGAAGAAGTCAATGGGGGCTCGTGACAGAAGGGCGTTGGACAATCAAGACAGGGGGTGCAGCAGAGGGATTTGTTGGTGGGAGGGAGACAAGAATGGTGACGGGGAAGGAGGGGGGTGGTGGGGGATATCAAAGTATAATGGATGTATGTGGACAGCATCAGAGGGCATGATAGGATGTTGGGGGACCAGGGGAGCTTATTGGCAGTGACCATGACAATGGCCTCCGCAAGGGAAGCATGGAGGAGTAGTGTGGACATCATTATGTTGCAGTGTTGACTCTAAGGGTGCAAGGAAGACAGTTGAGGCAAAGTTTAATGTGGTGGGTTTGCACAGAGAGGTTTGCGTGGAAACAGACTGTCAGGGTTAGATAAGATAGAAGGGGAGATAGTGGCCTAGTGGTATTTTATTTTAGATGAATGTGAGGATTTGCATTTTGGTAACACCAACCAGGGCAGGATTTTAAAATTGAAAGAACTGCTTTCAATCAGAAATAAAACCAAAAATTGCTGAAAATCTCAGCAGGTCTGGCAGCATCTGTGGAGAGAAATCAGTTAACATTTTGGGTTGAGTGACCCTTCCTCAGAACAGGAGCAGGGCAGGACTTATACAGTTAATGGTATGGCCATGGGGTGTGTTGCTGAACAAAGAGACCTAGGGGTGCGGGTGGATAGTTCCTTGAAAGTGGAGTTGCAGGTAGACAGGGTGGTGAAGAAGACATTTGGCACGCTCACCTTCCTTGGTCAGAACATCAAGTATAAGAGTTGGGATGTGTTGTTGTGGCTGTATAGGACGTTGGTATAATTCTGGTCACCCTTCTACAGGACATATTATTTAACCTGAGAGGATCCACAAAATATTTAAAAGGATGTTGCCCGTTCTGGAATGTTTGTGTTATGGAAGAGGCTGAATAGGCTGGAACTGTTTTCCCTGGAGTGTCGGAGGCTGAGGGGTGACTGTATAGAGGTTTATAAAATCATCAAGGGTGTGGATAGGGTGAATGGCCAAGGTCTTTTTCCCAGATTGGGGGAAGGCATAGGTTTAAGGTGACAGGGGAAAGCTTTAAAAAGGACCTGAGGGGTAACAGTTTCACGCAGAAGATGGTGTGTGCATGGAATAAGCTGCCAGAGGAAGTGGTAAGGCATCTGGATGGGTATATGAATAGGATGGGTTTAGAGGGATACGGGCCAAAGGGGACTAGGCGAGACTCGGATGTCTGGTCGGCACGGACATATTGGTCTGAAGGGTCTGTTTCCATACTGTATGGCTCTAAGTATCACATCTGAAGCAATGAGGGACAGATTGTGCATTATGTTGTTGGTGTCAGTCTTCCTGTCTGGATGTAAGTCATCAGTTGGTGCCTTCATCATGGTGTGAGAGAGCTGTGGGTCAATCTCAAATCAGCATTGAATCATGCTGGACCCTCCACTGCGATATTGTAGAAGTCATGGCTGTCAGTGTTTTAACCATTTGTTGTGCACAGAGTGTTAAATTGACTTTATGTTCTATGGCACAATTTGAAGAAGAGCAGAGTTGTCTTCCAGTATCTTGGTGGACAGCCCCTCACATTTTCCTAACTCCTCCAATGTACACATGGCAGCCCTGACTCACCCCACCATAGCCAATATACCCCAGTAGTTGACATTGCCTCTGTGCAAATCACCACCCTCCCCCAAAAAACTCTGAACCACCAGCACGACCGTCAGCATTCTCCTATTTCCATGCCACTCTTCTCCCAGCTAATATTCCATACATGACCCTACAGTTACTTTTGATCTGAGAGAAACTGGATAGTTTATAGCTTTTCAGCTGTTGCTGTTGATCAGATCAAGCTGATTTTAGCTTTCATGATAGCTGATGCAATTCCAATGTACTCCCTGCTTTGAAGTTCTTTGTGAAGTTGGAATGATGTGATAAGGTGCTGATTCGACACAAATCTTGATTTCTTTCCTTAGTGGGGAAGACGTCGCTACTGCAAGGAAACAAAGGTCTTGCAGGACCCTTGCTCCAGGTCACCGCTAATCAGAAAAACAAGTTCAGTGACCCTGGAGGTGGCTCTTTCAGGTAGGAAGCTGTGAATTTTCAATTAAAGTCCAAAGCCAGGAGGGAAGTTTTACAGTTGAACACGAGAGGGCAGCATCCAGTGAACTTGCTCAACAAATGTTACATCAGAACAAGTTCATGCAAGGAATAAAACCAATGTGAAGAAGCTTTCTTGATATATTAATGTGCTCAATTGGGGAAATGTGCTTCAGGCTTTGACTGATATATCAATAAATCTTTAAGTTTGGTAATTAATTTGTCACAAGTGTAGCTTCTTGAGCTGGAATTTTTAAAACTTCTCTTTTTAATTACTGTGTTTCAGTTTTTGATATATTTTTACATTGAAGATGAATGGCAGTGAGCATGCCACTATAGATTTTATAATAATTGGTAAGTTTAATTTCTTAAATTAAGAGGGCAAAAAGTGATAACCTACTGCAGTTGGACTGTTTCTGACAAAGAAACACAATCTGGACACAATTTGCATTTGAACCTTTAACCTCTCCTACAGCCAAAACAGCATCTAAGAGTTGGGCCTGAAGGCATCGAGCCAGTAACCTGTATTAATCCTCTGAATGCTGACTGGTCCTGGCCGTTCACAGCATGTGTGCAGAATTTGTTGGTGGCTCCAAGGCAAATTGACTGCAGCAGTGGCGAAATTCAACAAAAAAACCAAAGCCATTAATGTTTTTGTTATTAAGTTGTCCTTAATGTTATATTGCTGTAAAGGTATTGGTAATTTTTTTTCTCCCCCAATTCCTGGCAGTTATAGTTTGCTCTGTCATGTTGCATTAACACAGGCCACAACGCATGCAGTTTCGAGGACTGGTCACAGAGTAGGGGGAAAATAAAAGGGCTCCATGCTTGGGGGAGGCATTAAACTCAGAGGGGTAGAAAGTGGGGTTGTGTTTGTGTTCATTTTACTTCTCCCCAACAGAGATGATTCCCTCAGGAAGATTATTGAAAGCATTTACCATGTAATTGGCAAAGTGCTTGTTATCAGAAAGACAGTCTTCCATCCTGCCCCTCCTTTCCGTCCATCAGCTGCGTTGCTGGACGAGTAGCATCAAATCCCACAGAGAGCTGCTTTTCAGCTGGTTCTGAGATGGCAGACCTAAGGAAGAGGCAAGTTGTTAAGAGGAAACAAAGCTCCGTTTTTACTGTCCTCGTCAAACATTCCCAGGAGGGATTTGATGGAGAGTAAAGCTCTTTCTTAACTGTCCCTATCAGGCAATCCCTAGCTGGGCAAAGCACATGTTGAGTACAGAGTGGCACTTTGCACTATCTACTTTGTCTAGACCCTCATGACTTTGATCAACTACATCAAATCTCCCCTGAACCTTGCCTAAGGAGTACAGCCCCAACTGCCTCAGTCTGTCTGTGTAACTGAAGTCTGAAAACTTCAATGTGAATCTTTTAAGTGCATTGTGGAATTGGACACGATCATTGAAGGTGAACTCTTTTTTATGACATTAACTCAGAGTCTTTGCTATGTACTTTCTTTCTTTACCTGTGAAGTCCAGGATTGTGTGTTGCTTTTAAAAACCACTTTCTCTCCCTTTCCTGTCGTCTTCAATGACTTGTGCACACGCATTTACTCCTCATCCTCTTTCGAATTTAACTCTTTACATTATTTTGTTCTTTGATCCAAATACATCACTTCCCACTTCTCTGCATTACATTTGATTGGCTGATTGCTTTCTTGAAGTCCCTGTCCCCACTGTTGACTATAATTCCAAGTTTTATCACATGAAAATTTTTAAATTGTGTCCTGAATCTTGACCATTAATACATACTATGTAAAGCAATGGTCTTAGTATCTGCCAAAGCTTTTATGCGTTTGTCAATTTTTGTCTAAAATAATATTCCTTTGAAGTGATTTGAAATGTTTTATCTTTTTCGTAGAATCCCCACAGTGTGGAAACAGGCCATTTGGCCTGACAAGTCCACAGACCTTATGAAGAGCATCCCAACCAGACCCATCCCCCTACCCTTTCCCTGCATTTCCGTTGGCTGACACACCTGACCTATACATTCCTGAACACTACGGACAATTTAGCATGGCCAATCTATCTAACCTGCACATCTTCGGACTGTGGGAGGAAACCGGAGCACCCGGTGGAAACCCATGCAGACATGGGAAGAACGTGCAAACTCTACACAGACAGTCGCCTGGGGCAGAAATCAAACTCTGCCACCTGGTGCTATGAGGCAGCCGTGCTAACCACTGAGCCACCATACTGTTGTATAAAGGTGCTGTACAATAACCAGTCTTTAATGGCATTATATAAAAACTCCAGACTTCCATCCCTTCAATATTTTGCCAGTTAGTGTCTACTGTTTAAAAGTACCTCAAAATGTATTATGCTTTGGGTAATCTTGAGGATCAGTTTGGATGGAAAATAGTATTTATTTCATTCACTTCAGAATAGTGATACATGGCTTCAAATGCACTGTAGATATGACCTGGTTTTGAAAGGCTAAAATTTTTACTATGGGATATTTTCACAACCCAAGTGGACTTTTCTTGATGTGACCGGCTTAAAAGGAGGAGGTGAGGTTTGATTGATAGATTTTAATATTGGTAATCTAAGGGAATAGGACTAGAAGGATGCTGTTTTACCCTGTGAAACTCTTCTGCCTTTCACTGAGATAATGGCTAATCTGTGATATACTCCATATATTCATCCCCATATTCCTCAAAACCTACAGATAACAAATATCTGTTTATTGCAGTTTCAAATTTAATAATTGATCTGGCATCTGTTGCTGTTTGTGGAAGAAATTTCCAAACTACTTCTCCCCTTTGTTTGCGTCAAAGATCTGGTTCTAATTTTTAAACAGTCCTTCGGCTCCCAAATCAGTAGAAATAATTTTTGTCTTTCTCTGCTTTAAATGTTCCCCCTTATTCTTCAAAACTTTAAGCAAATCTCCTCTTCTAAATTCCAGGAAATATGATCATTATTATCATGTCCTCTGACAATTTAACCCTTGGATTGCATATATCATTCTGGTAAACCTGCGCTGTACTTTCCCCACAGCGACTATATGTTTCCTTAATAATGCCCACGATTATCCAAGTGCTATGTAACCAGGGCTTTGTAAATCTCAAGCATAATTTTTATCGCCTTATTTTCCAGTCTTATAGATATAAAGCATAGTATTACATTTGTCTTTTTAGTTCTTTTCTGACCCCTTTATGACATTTTAATGGTCTTTTTGGATCCCCTCTGTTTCTAGCTTAGGAGCAGACTCAAAAGACCGACTCCAACTCCTGCTCTTTGTTGTCCTGATTCCGAAAGTATTCTGATCTGTTTATTTTGGATCCAAAATGGATGACCTCATGTTTTCCCTTCCATAGAAACTGCTTGCCACAGTTTTGCCCTTTGACTGAAACTGTCAATATCTCTGTAAACGTTCACAACATCAGTCATCTTTGCATCTTTGGCAAATTTGGATATGTGGATTTCCATCTGTTTATCTAAATGACTGAATAATTGAGCCTCAATTCAGATTCTTGCTGGATGTCACCAGTCACATCCTGCCAATTCGAATACTGCCCATTATCCTCCTTGTTCCTGCTGCTCAGCATAATTTCCTAACTAGATCAATTTTTGCTTTCAGTTCCATAAGCTTCAACTTTAGCCAATGGTTTTTCATGAGACTTTTTCAAATGCCTCACAGAAATTCATATAATAATATTGTTAGAACTATGCCTTGTTAATTTTGAGTTTTTAAAGCCTCTGGACTCCACTGTGAGAGAACTGTTTGTCAGAACAGGGATTTACTAGGATAGACGCACAAGTTCACTAAGGAATTTGATACCTATTGTGAAATTTTTTTTTGTATCGATGGGTTCCTGCAATGTGTAAGCAATCAGGAGCTGAAAAGTTGCTTATAAGTGAAGCTGATTCGTTCTCAGCCAGCTGAGCAGTTTGGAACTGGAAACAATTTACAGAGACAGGTGAGTTAGAGTGCAGTGTGTACCTTACAAAAACTTGAACATTGGTTTGACTCCAGGAATAGCAGAGATCTCTTTATGACTCACTGCTCCAGTGGGTCATAACAATATCTGTAGATATTGCCCTGTTCACTGTTTTAGCAACACTTCAAAATGTTTGACCAGATTTGTCAAGCATGATCTAACTTTACAAAAGAGAAAACTAATAACAGCAGACATTTGAATAAGTCTCCGATAGTTGCCAGGTTTTCCTCTCTCAACTTTATTGTTTGGCTGACTGGTATGCAATTTTCCAATCACAGGTTACAGAATTGTTAGCATTAACAGGATTTGACAAAGTCAACATGGGTTTACAAAAAGGAAATCAGGCTTAGCTAATCTTCTGTAGTGTTTTGAGGATGTCAACAATAAAATAGATAAGGGGAGCAAGGGGCTATGTTGTATCTGGATTTCAAGAAGGCTTTTGATAAGGTTCCATGTAAGAGGCTAGAGAGCAACATTTAAAGCACGTACCCAGCATAGATTGAGAATCGGCTAACAGACCAGAAACACAGAGCATGAATAAATGATCCTTTTCTGCGTAGCATTTAGTGTCAGTAACTGCAAAGATCAGTGGTTGGGCCCCAGCTATTCATGATACACATAAATGAGTTGGATGAGGGAACCAAATGCAGTATTTCCGAGTTTCCTGATGGCACAAAGCTAGGTGAGATGAGAGGAAGACGCAAAAGAGATTTAGACAAGTTGAGTGAGAGGGCAAATGCATGACAGATGTGACATACAACACAGCGTGGAGCTGGAGAAACGCAGCAAGCCCACCAGGCAGCATGAGAGGAGGAGGAAAGTTGATGTTTCGGGTCGGGACCCTTCTTCAGGCCTGCTGTGTTCCTGCAGCTCCACACTGCTTAGTCTCTGACTCTAGCATCTGCAGTTCTTGCTATCGCAGATGTGACATAACCTTGATAAATGTGAAGTTGTACACTTCGGTGTGAAAAACAGAAAGGAAGAATATGATTTAATTGGTGAAATATTGGGAAGTGTGGATGTACAAGGGGAACTA